TGAGCAGCTGAAGGAGAAGCTCATATTTGCCATAGAAGAGACAGAAGGCTTTGGGCAGGAGTAATGCAACAGGAGCAGGAGCTGCAGGATCCAATGGAGGAGCAGTGGGCTTGGAGGACCCATATCCATTTCAGACCAGAGCACATTCCAGCAGATTCTCCTTGCAGCCAGGAACTGCTTATAAAGTGGTAGATGATACATACATTTATTTTCTGTCACATCATCATATGCAGCAACAACAGTTTAGATGTTTAGTTAAATAGATTAATATGAATTTAATGAATTAATTTGCTACACAAGAGACCTGTTAGTTCACTTATTCCACATATGATCAGTTCCCCCCTAATCCCACATCACTATTGGGCGATGGTTGCAGAAGAGACGCTTTTCTCACTCTGTCGTGTCTGCACTCGCAGTACGTTGCGCAAGTGCAGTTTCTACACGTAAATCTGTGAATCTTTGCAGTAGTAACTTCTCAAGAACCGCTTTTCGGGTCTATGCAGAATGAGCAATTTCAGAGGAAAACCATATTTGTGCATTTTGACTTACAGTAAAAAGGTTCATATCTAAAAGCAGCAAAAAAGGCATATATATGGTTTTGGGTCTTTCAGGCTCAACGTTAATTTTTCTTTTGTTGAAAGAATGGATGGATGATTTTTATCAGTACCTGATTGACTGGACTGACACCCATAGCACATACACAGTTTCTTTAATAACTCTGATAAATACGATCATGCTAATTGTAATGATAATTTCTCCTATGTTGACAAGTTGATTTCTTTTCATTCATAGTGAGTTGAAACTTTGAACATGGTTATGTAAGCAGTAAGATGGCTGTGATTGTTCTTAAGAGAGGTTGTATTTTTATGTGCAATAGTTTTGTAGAAAAAACATTTTTTGCCAGTAATAGAGCCAAACAGTGATTTGTTTGATCATTTGTATAGCATTTTGTTAAGTTTCAGCATTTACTATTGATTTAAATTCTTAATATTGGTAGAGGACATTATATTGTATATGGTAAAAGTGCTTTGGTTGCGTTTTGATTTGACAAACTTTGCCTTCTCAACATGGTCTGTGCTGTACATAATATCAGCCTTTTTGACCACTGATAGACACTTCCTTTATTAGTGTGGGAGACTCAAAGTGTGAAGCATTTCTGAAGTCTCTTGATAATTATGAGCTGGTACTGATGACGTGGGAGCATTGGGATGTATTGTGTAATAAAAAACAATTATTTGTTGAATAATGACCTATTCCCACTGAATGGTAGCCAATTTGCTGGTAGATATCCAGAATTAAGTATTATCCTAGATCAGTAATGAAAACACTGAATCCTAACTGTTTTTAATGTGTGAAGTGATTAATGCAGTTTATGTAAATATACTTCCAAAGTGGAACATAGTGTTTAATATCTTAATACATATAATTCACATAGGCAGTGGATCCCCTTGAGTTGCAGGCTTAAACTAATAATAAAGATTTGAATTAATGTAAAAGTAATCGGCCCTAGTTTTATAGGGTGTTAGGTATTCAGATTTGTACAGTAATAGTTTATTCCATGTCTTTTCCAAAAAATAGGTCCACTAATGTCAAACTAAGAGTTTGTTTTTAGTATCAAGTAGATTATGATTTTAAGAAAATGACTATGGAACTGATCTACCAAAGGATTTAATTTAGTTTTTTTTTCTTTTCTTTTTTTTTTTCTTTTTTGTGAACAATTTGACTTAAACTTCACCAAGTTCTTAACGTCCCCTGAATGAATTACACATTTTACACCAGTTGTTACTATTGAGATTTAGTTGTCCTTTATTTTACCCACTGTAAAATGCATAAATGTAAACAAAGCAGTAGCTCTGCTATCTCAATTTTAAAAACAGAATTTGAACAAAATTTCAGAAATATTTTTATCATTAAAAACAAAATACAGATTTCACCTTTAAGGCAGTTTTAAGGAAACCAAGTCTTAATCTTTCTTAGAGATGTTTTACCTTTATCACTGTGGATTTCAAATGCTTCCGTAGTAGGCCTATCACAAAAATGAGTTTGTATTTATACACAGTTTTAACATGTGTTGTTACTGTGTATTTATATGAGATCTTGTTGCTTAATATGAGCAGAGCCACATTAATAAATTGTAATGTGATATTTTTGAATGACTAGTAAAACTCAAGCTCTGTAGTGTGTGCATAGGTGGCGTGATGCATAGTTAAACAACATATTTATGTGTGTATGCCTCCCAGATCACTGACAATTTGTAATTGCAATTTAAATTTCATCAAACTCCTAGCGAAATATAAAAGGAAGAAACTTTTCTTATGAATTTCTATGAACCATGTGGCTGTATACCATTTCATAATGCTGGTACTTTATAGAAAAAATGTTGGTTGTTCTCACTCACTTGAGCTCTCCCTCACTGAACTCACAGGTGTATTGACCCTAAGACAATATCCATTATTGCTTCATACTTAATTGTGTCAGATGTTTCACATTATCTCACATTTATTCCCTTACTGGCAGAAATTCAATACACACACACACACGCTTACAAATCTCAGTGTGTAGCTACTGGAGTGCAGACTTGTAAAGAGATTATTATTGTAAAAAAATAAAACTTTGATTTTAAAAAACAAAAAAAAAAAAAAAAAAAAAAGTGTTGTGATTAAAATGTTGACTGTGGAATATGTTAACATGTTAAAATTACAACTAATGAAATAGCACCTTGACACTCCAAACTGGCTGAATTAACCACTTGACTGTTTAATCACTGCTGTGTTCCAGATCATGGGGCGGTTAAATGTATAGAAATATGCAAATTAATGTTTTAGTTGTTCTGATTACATTGTAAATCATGTTGATAGTGTAATCACTGTTTCCTTTTTTGAAGCTCTAACTTTTTTTTGATAAGTGGAAGTCAACGGTTGAATACTATTTATTTGGAGAATGGGTTTCATGTAACAATGAACTGGATTGATTGAGGAAAAAAAAACGTTAATAAAATGATTTTAACACTGGGCTCCTGCAGGTCACTTGTCAAGTGTAAAAATTATTTACATTGCAACATGTTTAACCTTTTTGTTTTTTAATATAGACACAATTCATTACTTTTGTTTATATATTTCTTCTAAATAAACCCAAGGCATTAGCTGTTTTCATATTTCACATCCTCTTACATTATAAAAAAATATGCTTTTCACCATTTTGTGAGAGTAAAAATGGAAGAGCTGCTCATAGCTGCACAAAAAAAATTTAAGGGTGGTGGTGAGACAGCTACTGGAGGCTGGAGACTCCACTACAGTTTAGAGGGAGATATGTTTTTTTTCATTTGACTGCCACATTCAATAGTTAGTTGTCAGATCAAGATTTTACATATAACACATAAGATCAGATTATTTAATACAATACAATTTTTTAAACAACACATTTTCAACCACAGTTCATTGTACTTAATGATGCTTTCTTACATTACATTACATTCATTTGTCAGACAATTGTCAGAAGCGGTTTATAATAAGTGCATTAAAACTACACAGGAGCAAGTGTTAGATATGTTTCCATTTTAAAGAAATGACTAAAAGCATGTTCAGTGCCACCGTACAACTACTTAAAGATTTTTATTGTTTATATTTGTTTTAAATGAGACATAATTTAATTAGACTTTCTCTTATGAATAAGAAAAAACACAGAAGTGGTGTGGTGCAAAGCACAATAAAACACTGTTAGGGTTTTATTAGTTAATTGCATATCTTGTAATTTGTCAGATAGGAAACAAGTGTCAGCTTGAATGCTTTGAATATGCGGGTGTTGACTTGAAGAATGCTTCAGGATGTTTACTCCCTTAAACTGGCTCCTGTTAACATATAATCTTTCTTTGGCTCCCATTCAAAAAAATCCTAACTGAACCTTCCAACCTGACTGAAACCTCCTGCTATATCCAAATATTGGTTATGTATGGCTTTATATTTCTTACTCTGAAAAGTGCGTGCACACACACACTGAACAGTACATTGCATCAAAAATACTTTTCTTGATTTAATTTTCTTTTTGTTTATAATGGCCCCCAAAAGTTCTGCATTGAGAAACAACCGGCTTGCATGAAGCCGCACATGGTAAGACCAGTTATTCTTCTTCAGCTTTCATAGAAGTCCTTCTCCTTTATCCAAACAGAGGCAGGATTAAACTCTCATGACCAAACCCTCTTATTCATTTCTGATTCAACCGCTTCAAGCCTTCCTTTATTGTTAGTCTTTACTTTGGCATTTGAAATTATGTAATACTATGTGAGAGTGCATTGTTGCTGTATCCTGAATTAGACAATTCTCAAAGTGTTATTTAGTAAATGCTCTTCTGCAGCATCATAACAAACTGGCTCCTGTTAAGAAATGATCTCTCTGGCTCCGATTTTAAAAATCCTAACTGAACCCTCTAACCTAACTTAAACTTCTCCTATATATTCTCCTTTATATTTCTTACTCTGAAAGGTACACACACACACATTATGTAAAATGCAATATCTAAATGACTAATGCAATTGCTAACACAAACACTACATTACATAAACAGACACAGCAAATTAAACTACAGTTTAGGAATAATTGTCAATAGACAACTTCTATTTTATCTCTATTGGTTTAATGAAGTTCCTATAGTATCTAAACTTCAATCTAGTCTTAATGTTTCTTCTAGATCATACCATGTTTTTGTGAATAATGTAATAAATAAAATGAAATAAAATAAATTACGGTAACAAATCAGTTTTACAGCCTCATCTATCCTTCTCCTACTCCTCCTAAGTTAAAATGCTTTTATTTATCTATTTCCTTTTGTGATTTTGAAATAATCTTCCCCAACAAAACACAATTTTAAATGTTGGTGCACATCAAGGTGCACAAACAAAAACATGTGCTGAAGTTACAAAGTAGGAACCTTTAATGCAGCGCAGCACGACGGCTAACTTTCGCTGTGACGCACCATGATGTGCAACATTATTTAATGCCCTGTCGGCTGCGGTTGAAAGTCATGGCAGGTCCTGACTTGGTAAAAACTCTTTTGTACACCGTCAATAATCTGCTGCAACAGGAGAAATACAAAGCGGCATTGGCGGTTTTGAAAGGATTCAGAAACGGCGTCGTGTGAGTGAACTCATTCATGAGCTAGCGAGTTAAACTACGATAGTTTACTTATTTACCACAGAGCTGGGAGCTAGTAGGTCTCTGGTTAACAGCTGTATTACAGTTATAGCTTTAGCTGCCTGGAACCACCGTGGAAATCTCAAGGCAATCTTTATCTCGTATTTGCAGCTGTCTGATTCTTGTTCATATATTTGAATGTAGTATGTTGACAATACTAACTATGGAGTATGAGCACTGAGGCACTAAGACCTTGTTTTGTCAGTTGTGTTTCCAGACAGCACTGACATTACTATATGTTTATTCTCAGATATGGGGCCAAAATCAGAGCACCACATGCCCTGGTGATGACATTTCTATTCAGAAGTGGCAGGTAAGAATCTGGGCTGTAACGTAACAGTACTTTGCCATTACAACATCCCCTATGCCTCTTAAGTCTGAACATGCTGTTCTTCCCTCTGGTAGCTTGAAGGACAAGCTCAAAGCCATTTTGAAGGCCACTTACACCCATTCCCGAAACCTGGCCAGCTTTGTGTTCACATATAAAGGGCTGCAGGTCTTGCAGCAGAAGATCCAGGGAAAGAGTTTACAGTCTCACTCCTTCCTGGCTGCCTGTGTTGGAGGATGGTTAGTGTTTGGCGATAACAACAGCATCAATAGCCAGGTATGACAGGCCTGCAGTCCAAAAATCCCGTTTTGGCATTAACAAGCACGTCAGCATAAACCCAAGACTGTAACTGATTTAATAAATGTGTTCAAACTCCCTTCTTTTTTTACTTCAGATCAACATGTACTTGCTGTCCAGGATCTTGTTCGCCCTGTCTCGACTGGCTGTAGAGAAAGGAGTTATCCCCCAGCCTAAACACGACCCATTCCCACTCTTCGCCACCCTGGTGTGGGGCATCGTTTTGTGGCTGTTTGAGTATTACCCACACACCCTCCAGCCCTCACTACAGTCTTCCATGACGTACCTCTACCATGACAGCAATGTATGGCATGACATCACAGACTTCCTTGTATATAATAAGCCAAGGACAGCTGCTTAGAAATGAAGCTTTAGTCTCTTTTTCTTTATGGACTAGCTCTCTACAATATTACAATTTCATTTTTTATTTAATTGTTTTCATACACTGAACAAAAATATAAATGCAACACTTTTGTTTTTGCTCCCATTTTTCATGAGATGAACTCAAAGATCTAAAAACATTTTCTATATCCACAAAATAACCATTTCTCTCAAATATTGTTCACAAATCTGTCTAAATCTGTGATGTGATAGTGAGCACTTCTCCTTTGCAGAGATAATCCATCCCACCTCACAGGTGTGGCATATCAAGATGCTGATTAGACAGCATGATTATTGCACAGGTGTGCCTTAGGTTGGCCACAATAAAAGGCCACTCTGAAACGTGCAGTCTTGCTTTATTGGGGGGGGTCTGGGGGAGTCAGAAAACCAGTCAGTATCTGGTGTGACCACCATTTGCCTCACGCAGTGCAACACATCTCCTTTGCATAGAGTTGATCAGGTTGATTGTGGCCTGTGGAATGTTGGTCCACTCCTCTTCAATGGCTGTGCTCACTATCACAGATTTAGACAGATTTGTGAACAATATTTGAGAGAAATGGTTATTTTGTGGATATACAAAATGTTTTTAGATCTTTGAGTTCATCTCATGAAAAATGGGAGCAAAAACAAAAGTGTTGCATTTATATTTTTGTTCAGTGTAATTACTAATATTCCAATATTATTGAATGTTGCCTTTAATTTATTGTTTGATCATAGTTTGTACTACAGGAAGTTTTTATTATTTTTTTTATTAATGTTTGATTTATTGACAGATGTATTTTCTTGTGTCATGATTCATGCTCGTTTGACTCCAAATTTCCAGCTAAAGAAATATACCAGCATATTTGTATTTCATTGTTATTGGACAAAATCAGCTTTGAATGTCAATATTTGTGTCCACTATGACTTTCCTGCTGGTATTTGGGTGATTTTAGAATTGTTGATTTTAATTATATCACTAAATCCAGCTGCCACAGAATAAAAGACAAAAGATGTTTAAAATGCAATCTGTTGTGAAACTGCAGTTACAAAGAGACATAAAATGTCACTGTTGGCAATATTATTTACAACTGATTTGGTTCAAAAATAAAAAACAATTGCGTTCTTCTATATGATACACAATTCATAAAAACTGAAAAATGCCAGTTGTTAGCAAGTCATTATCACGACTACGTGATATATGGCATAATGAGCGTTGTGGTTGAGCATATGACTCACATGTTATGTGTTCTCTTTAATGAACTGAAGAATCCCTCACACTGCAGGGATCTTTGTAGACATTTAGCTCCTGCTTACATCACCTCTACAAGAAAAACAGGGAGTTGCACAAGTTTTTGTTAATTTACCTATGTTTGTGTTTGTTTAAAAGATTAAGGTGTGCCATCATTACATGTTTAATGAGGCCTGAATGAATGGGATGAAGTCAAACCTGATACCAGTTTTTTTTTTTGTTCAAAGATTGAATCCTTCTATCCAGCTACCATCTACCCAGCAACTCATTACCTTGTTTACAAATCATTTTTGTGTTACTACAGCACAATATCAGTCACTGTTAGAATCCATCATTATAATATGGTCCAATGTCAAAACAGTGGTTATGAAATCTTTATTTTATTTTTTGTGAGTCCCTACTATAGTTTAAATATTTGGGATTGCCAACGGTGGAAAGTAACAAAGAGCATTTACTCCAGCTCTGTATTTTAATGCAGATTTGTAAATACTTTACTATTTCCATTTTATGCTTTTTTTAATGCTTCCCTACATTTCATAGGCAAATATTGTATATTTAACTGACCTCCATTCATTTTATTTGAAAGCTATTGTTATTGTAATGGAAGATTACAGCTTTACATATAAAAACATATATCAGCTTATAATATATGATGGAATGGTCTTGAATAAAATAACCAACAGTATCTAAAGCAAATAAAATGATCTACCTTGATTAGCTACATTGAACAAAGATATAAATGCAACACTTTAGTTTTTGCTCCCATTTTTCATGAGATGAACTCAAAGATTTAAAACATTTTCTATATCCACAAAATAACCATTTCACTCAAATATTGTTCACAAATCTGTCTAAATCTGTGATAGTGAGCACTTCTCCTTTGCAGAGATAATCCATCCCACCTCACAGATGTGGCATATCAAGATGCTGATTAGACAGCATGATTATTGCACAGGTGTGCCTTAGGCTGGCCACAATAAAAGGCCACTCTAAAAATGTTCAGTTTTATCACACAGCACAATGCCACAGATGTCGCAAGTTTTGAGGGAGCGTGCAATTGGCATGCTGACAGCAGGAATGTCCACCAGAGCTGTTGCCCGTGAATTGAATTTTCATTTCTCTACCATAAGCCGTCTCCAAAGGCGTTTCAGAGAATTTGGCAGTACATCCAACCGGCCTCACAACCGCAGACCACGTGTAACCACACCAGCCCAGGACCTCCACATCCAGCATGTTCACCTCCAAGATCGTCTGAGACCAGCCACTCGGACAGCTGCTGCAACAATCAGTTTGCATAACCAAAGAATTTCTGCACAAACTGTCAGAAACCGTCTCAGGTAAGCTCATCTGCGTGCTCGTCGTCCTCATCGGGGTCTCGACCTGACTGCAGTTCGTCGTCGTAACCGACTTGAGTGGGCAAATGCTCACATTCGATGGCGTCTGGCACGTTGGAGAGGTGTTCTCTTCACGGATGAATCCCGGTTTTCACTGTTCAGGGCAGATGATGTCAATGTTGTGGATCGAGTGGCCCATGGTGGCGGTGGGGTTATGGTAGCCTATGGGCAGGCGTATGTTATGGACAACGAACACAGGTGCATTTTATTGATGGCATTGTGAATGCACATAGATACCGTGACGAGATCCTGAGGCCCATTGTTGTGCCATTCATCCACGACCATCACCTCATGTTGCAGCATGATAATGCACGGCCCCATGTTGCAAGGATCTGTACACAATTCCTGGAAGCTGAAAACATCCCAGTTCTTGCATGGCCAGCATACTCACCGGACATGTCACCCATTGAGCATGTTTGGGATGCTCTGGATCGGCGTATACGACAGCATGTTCCAGTTCCTGCCAATATCCAGCAACTTCGCACAGCCATTGAAGAGACCACAGGCCACAATCAACAACCTGATCAACTCTATGCGAAGGAGATGTGTTGCACTGCGTGAGGCAAATGGTGGTCACACCAGATACTGACTGGTTTTCTGACTTCCTGGGGGAGTCAGAAAACCAGTCAGTATCTTGCTTTATTGGGGGGATAAAGCAAAACTGCAAGTTTCAGAGTGGTCTTTTGTGGCCAGCCTAAGGCACACCTGTGCAATAATCATGCTGTCTAATCAGCATTTTGATATGCCACACCTGTGAGGTGGGATGGATTATCTCTGCAAAGGAGAAGTGCTCACTATCACATCACAGATTTAGACAGATTTGTGAACAATATTTGAGAGAAATGGTTATTTTGTGGATATAGAAAATGTTTTAGATCTTTGAGTTCATCTCATGAAAAATGGGAGCAAAAACAAAAGTGTTGCATTTATATTTTTGTTCAGTGTAAAACATGAATTCTGCTTACACAATAATGTGCCAGAAGCAATCAAACAATATAACAATCTAATACTCTGAAAGGAAAAAAAGGAGATGGACTAAAAGTACAAAGCTCCAAAACTGCTGGTATGATTTAACATGTCATGCGGTTCATGATCAACCAACTAATGCAATTGATTCCAGCTGTTTTCCATTTAACTGGGTGAGTCTGATCACGTAAGTCCTACCTTACGCATGAAAAGAGCAGATGACGCTAAAAGTGCAAGTAGTGTTAGTTTTAATGCTGAATGTACCTGAGGCGTGGGTGTTGACTTGGATTGATGCCACAGCAGGTCATCAAATACTTTTGGTGTCACCCATACATATGACCCATACGCCCTGTGGGATTGATGAATGTCTGGACCTAATCTTGTGCCAGTCCATCCAGTAAATTTGAAGTAGAAGTAAAATTTTTTTTAGAAGTAAAAATATTGACGATTTGGTTTTGCCAAAGCGCATGTCATGGGATCAGCAGAGTCGGTACACTTCATCATCTAGGAATCATGAATGTCTACAAAATTTCATGCTGAGATATTTCAGTGATGGACTGGCCAACTGACAGTCCATACCACCTCCAAAGATTTGTCTCACATTTCTTTGAATATTGTCTTTTTGAAAGGTGTAAAAATGTTGCACTGGACTCAGTGATACGAGGACACCAGATAGTGAGATAGATGGAGCAGCAGCCCCTGCAGTAACTCAAAGTCAATATTCATTCATCAAAAAGCATCCCACACAATGCGCTACCACTTGAACATGATTTGCACTATTTTGCTTTGGAGACGAGTGCAAAGCATAAACAGAAACGCCAGTTAGCTCTAAATGAACTCCCACGCTTCTTTTATTGGGCAGACGTAACTGTGTCTAAGTGCAACACTTTCAAGGCTGCAGGCAAGTGGTTAAAGGGTGTGTGTGTATTTTTAAAACTCAGATCCATTGTTTATCATATATTATGTTTTATTGTACTATGATGGGCATTTTAAACAATAAATATGAATCCATTCATGAACATTTCCTAAATGATAGACGCAGGTACAAAGTAGTTTATGAGAGACATTTTATAGACAAATTCAGCCAGTGCCGGAAACATGTGTACATGAATAATTGAAAAGAAAAAGTCTGAAATGAGTAAATTCAAAATGACTGAAACCATGTTAACAAAGCATGTATGAATGATAGTATTATATGTAAATTTTTCTAAGTAAGCAGACTCAAAAAGTGAAGAAAAATGACAACCAAAGTAAATGGAAAGATTAGAGTAAGTTAATTATAGTTGAAACCATAACACAAAGCAAAAGCATCTGTCCCTGCAAACAAGAACATGAATCACTTTCACCATCCAAAGAAAATTTTGCAACAGCTTTGTTTGAAATTTGCTCTACTGGGTGGATCTGATTACTCACGTCAGGCCCAACTAGCGTATGAAATGCTACACCTGAAAAATGTTCTCAGTAAATGCTTTCTGGGGGTTGGGCAAAGGCTTATATAACTGTGGAGGGAAACAGCCGGGACATAAACACTGAGTTACTGCTGTGAAAAACAGACACTAACAAATGGAAGGTGAGATTTGTCTTCATGTGAGCTCTTTTTCTCCCACTATTATTATTTAAGTTATCCCACCTTCTTTTCTTCTTCTATTCATTGCTTGTAGAGTTTGCTTTTTTTTTTTTTTTTTTTTTTTTTTTTTTTTTTTTTCTGTATCCATTTCTTCACTCGTTTTTCTTAATTTGCAGATTTGCTCATAAAACATGTCAACCTGGAGAAGTATGAAAACCAGGAGAGGCACAAGACGGAGGGCTTCAGAAGCTCCAAAGCCCTGGTGGTGCGAAGAGGGGCCCCATTCAGAGTCAGTCTGCAGCTGGAGGGCCGACCTTTCAACCCCAGGACTGACTCTCTGAGGGTCAAAATTATGCTAGGTAGACTACATTTGGATTTAATATAGATATTTCTTTGTGGCTGAATGGCTGTTTGGGTGCATACTTGTATATGTAGCCAATTGGAACCACTTAAATTTAAATATCTTTGCTTAATTTTCTTTCTTTCTCTTTCCCCAGGTCGCCTGTATGTGATGATGCCGGTCACCTTCTCCAAGAGGGTTTCTTCCTCCTCTTGGAATGCCTACATGGATCCAGTGGACGTGAACCTCCACAAGCCCTCCATCTTCATCTCTCCTCCTGCCTCTGCCTCAGTGGGATTCTACAGGTTTCAGCTGTGGGTGCCGTCCAGGGGCGGCCAGCAGAGGAGTGCCTTTGGCAAATTCATCCTGCTCTTCAATCCCTGGTGCCGTGGTGAGTAAAAACATCAAAAATGTTTGAAGAAGAAGCTTATACAGGCAATGCAAAGTTTCATAGACTGAGGAGGTTTTATTGGCTGATAATACTGCCAACCAAACCAGAAATGTTCAGGATTCATTCACGGCAAATGTTTGGTATCAGCTTTACAGAATAGAATAAACAATAAAGATAAGCACGGTAATTGAGTTACACTATTTATGGTCTACCCAGCAAAGCAATTTAAAATGTAAATACACTAGGATGCACTAAATGTCAGCTTTATTCTTTGCAGAGGATTCAGTGTATATTCCCTTTGAGGACCAGAGAGATGAATATGTCCAGAATGACTCTGGGTTGCTGTTTGTGGGGACACCTGTGAACACTGCGTCAACACCATGGTCCTTTGATCAGGTATGAAAAGGATAAAAGAATAATGAATTTCTTTTTATATTCAATGGAAAAAAAATTATAAGGTTATTTACAGACTCAACACTGTATTTTCAAGTGCTGTTGTTTTGGATCAAATGTCACTGTGCAAGTATCCACTTCCTGTATGTATTTTCAGTCTTAGAGTTGGATTAAACTCTTCTCTAAGACAGCATTCAGAATATTAGAGGGAAAACTCTTAGTAAAATAGGTATTTTTTAGTGGAGGCACAAAAGCAAATGTTAACTCTCACAAGACTGAATGTTTAGCATGTATTTCTTTGAATGATGTCATTAAAAGTTAATGTAATCCCTTCATTTCTTTCTCTCTGTGTGTGAAGTATGAGCCTGGTGTTCTGGAGGCATGCCTGAATCTGCTCCAAGTCAGCCCTCAGCACCAAAACAACAGAGTAGTGGACTACCTCAACCGAAACAGCCCCATCTACATCAGCCGGATCGTATCTGCCATGGTGAGCAAAACATGAACACTCACTCACTGCCAGTGTTCTCTTTCAGTGACAACATGAGTGTCACTGCACAAGTTGCTGCTTGACCTGGGACAGCGTGTTCTGCATGTTGTAAAGATGAACACGCCTCCTGCAAAGTTAAAAACAAAACAAAAAAAAAAAAAAGTCAAATGAAGGGACGCTCTAATTACAGCGTCAACAGTCGATCCAAAGTTGTCATTAACCTGTCACTGCAGACTCGTCTTGTGAGATGTGAGGTGCCCAGACTTGCCTTATGATCTTTGGTAACTGAGGTGTGAAGATAGAAAATGATGTTCATCCTCTCTTTCCTGTTTAGATCAACAGTGAGGATGACCATGGAGTCCTGAAAGGGAACTGGTCTAGTGACTTCAAACAAGGAGTTCATCCCTCCATGTGGACGGGGAGCGGGGACATCCTGAGACAGTGGGCGCAAACCACTTACCGCCCAGTCAAGTATGGACAGTGCTGGGTGTTTGCAGCTGTCATGTGCACAGGTGATTATATCATGACGATTCGAAACTTTAGAAATAAAATCGTTTACAAAAATCAATAACCAGCACTAAACCTCTAAAACAGAGTATAATGTCATGACTCATGTCTTATTAATCTCGTTCACATACTGCATCATTTTTTCCATTGTGCAATATTGAGATATTTTCCTCAGTGTGTAACGTCTGTGTTCTGATTGCATCTTTCAGTCATGAGAGTTCTTGGCATTCCTTGTCGTGTCGTCACAAACTTCAACTCAGCTCACGACACCAATGCCAACCTGGTGATCGAGGAGTACTACAGCGAAACAGGGCAGAAGCTGAGTCACAACAAAGACAGCATATGGTCAGTAGTGATGTTAATGATCTTATTTACACTTTTTGTGACATCTTTTAATCAGTCCCTGACTTATGAAATCATTTTAAGTTAATTTGAAGGCTTTGATGACATTTATTTTGTAGTTTTAAGAAGCAAAAAAAAAAAAAAAAATCAAAAACAATTCAATGCTTAGTGATATCTGACTTGGCTCTTCTTAACAGGAACTTCCATGTCTGGGTGGAGTGCTGGATGAATCGTAAGGATCTGGGATTTGGAAAGGATGGCTGGCAAGTTCTGGACCCAACACCTCAGGAGAGGAGTGGAGGTGTGTGAGAAACATTGTTGGTCCTGTTATGTGAAGTTTCTCACTTTTTTTTTTATTTTTTTTTTATTCGTCTCTGATTTTTTACTTAACATTGCTCTAATCTTTTTTTTTTTTTTTCTTTTCCCCCAGGAGTGTTCTGCTGCGGCCCAGCTTCAGTCAAAGCAATCAAGGATCAGCGCATCGACCTTGTTTATGACATCCCCTTTGTCTATGCTGCGGTGAACGCCGACGTCCACAAATTCATAGTGAGCCAGGGTCAGGTGGTCAGCCACAGCAAAGACACAGAGAGAGTTGGATCCCTCATCTGTACCAAAGCTGTTGGCTTCCCCAGACTCCAGAACATCACAGGAGACTACAAACACATCAAAAGTATGATCCAAAAGCATTTATTTGCTCACTGGCTAATTTAGAGAAGTGTGGCATACTGTTCACTCTAAGTTACTCTGCTCACATTTGCTGTTTATCTTTACAAAACAGGCCCAACTTCAACACTTACATCAAGGAGGTCCACAATGTCAGAGGACTCAACAGTGAGAAGAGGTAATTTTTAATACATGAATCACAGTTTTCAGTTGTTTAAACGCACGTCATCTCACCCTGTGGATTTCTTCATGTTTATACAGCAAGCTCATCAGAGGGAGTGCTAGTCCTCCTGACCCTGGATAAAGCTCCACTTGCAGGAGAGCCCGTCTCCTTCATGGTGAAAGTCACGAACAAACAGAGTGTTGCCAAGATGATGAAGGTGCATATCAACGCCCAGGCCAAAGAATACAACCACAGCCCCTCAGACACCTTCTGGGAAATGCACAGCACCGTACAACTGGCACCCAAAGAAGGTAAATTTACTTACTCACTCATCTGTAAACTCAAACTTTCACTTCTGAGGGAGCGTTGCAGTTTGCAGAACTGACTGTAAAAATGGATTTGATGATGAATTTCACACGCCCTCTTCTCTCTGTTTGTCCCTCTCTCTTTCCAGTCAAGGTGCTGCACCAGCAGATCCTCCCAGCCCAGTATGAGGATGTGGTGGGAGACAACCTGATCAACCTCGCCGTAGTCCTAGAGGACACGGCCAATCAGGAGCGGTTCCTGGCCTCAGAGGAGTTCAATATCACCAGCCCACAGCTCGCCATACAGGTACTTTAAAGAGATTCAGAATATTTCTCACCAGTTATTTGGAGGGCAAGTTATTCGAGGGGTAATGTAACTAACATATTCAAGGTTCACTAAAACGTATTTCTCCCTCAGGTTTCAGATGAAAGCAACATTGTTCCTCACAAGGAGCAGACTGCCACAGTGACCTTCACCAACCCATTCTCTCACATGGTGAGTGGAGTCCTGACTGTAGCCGGGGCTGGGCTGATCCCGGGCAAGATTGACTTCAGGTAAGAAAAAAACGATTTACTTCTCTTCATTTTTTTATGTATACGTTGAAAGTTGTAGTGACTTGTTGATTAATGACCATCACATGTGGCTGCAAAATGAACGGGGAAGGAATGCTCAAATAGAGGAGTGTCACTGTGCAATGCATTACAGCACAGGGTGTTTTTGTTGAAGGAATGTAGACTTGTTACACTTGCATTGTCTGTGTTCAGTGTTCAGGCAGGCGTGGCTAGAATAACCAGTGAAAATTTCCACTGCTGGTTACAGAAATGGGGCCAATAATTTTACCGGTTCTCTAAGGCCTTTTGATTACAGGTGTGATGAACTATATACAAAAGCATAACCTGATGTAGCTATTGACAAAATAATCATTTGTTACTGAGGTATCATTATCTAAATTGGTCTGAAGAATCAAGTCCAACCAGGTGAAAACAAGTCAGAGTACTTTTTGACATGGGGACCAGTATCAGCCATTCACTGCTACCACGGTAACAGTGTTACCTTCACATTTTGTAAACTCTTTTATATCTTCCTTGTGTCTTCCTGCAGGATGCTCCCACTGCAGCCAGGAGGAAGAGTGCTGCAGCCCATCACTTTCATCCCCACCATGGCGGGAACAAAGATGCTTCAGGCTAGCCTGTCACTGACAAACATCAACACCACAATCAGGGGCTTTGAGATGGTCTTTGTCAACAAAGTTTAGATCCTTCTTGTTTGCCTCAGTTTATCACATTGGGGGCTATACTTACATTTATTGATACCAGCGTTTTTGTGCCTCAGAAACACCTTTTCAATTAGGTTGTAACAGCTACGTCTCTCAGCTGAAGCCAGGTCGCAGAGGAAAGATTCAGATTACTGCCCCCCTGTCGTGTAGCCAATCCTCGTGTTTTTCTGTTGCTGTGTATGATTTAAAGATGAATGTAAATTATAAGTATTTATTTATTTATTTACTTGAAATTGAAATTGTGCTTTTTGAACTTTTTGAAAAATAAAATAAAGTGTTTAAAAACTACTTTATGTCACATTTCTTCTGACAGATACAAAACCTATGAATGTTGATTTATGTTACTGCAGTTATTTCTCTGCCCAATAGAGGGAGACCTTTCCTCACAAAAGAAAAAAGGTCACATTGGGTCAGTCTGCTCGAAATGCTCCTCAAACCTCTTGATAATTACATGAAATTTACACCAGGATCATTCACTGTTCATTTATTTATTTGCTGAGTGCTCATGTTTCATACGCCTCTAGGTGGAGACAAATGAAATGAAACTTGACTCACCTTTCCCCACAATGCAATTAATTTATCTTTATTAATCTATTTTCACTCTGTCAAAACAAATCGACAATAAAGCATTATATACAAATCATAGCTAAGCTGACAGGCAGTGTAGTCGGCACATGCACAACCATACCAGTTCATCTATATTACAAACAGGTTATTAGGGAAATTAAACAGGGACAGAAAAGAAAGGAGAATTAAAACATGAAAACATATACAACCCAGAATTAAAAGTAAGGATTCGAGCACTAGCCTATAATACAGCATCTTCAAGACAATTCTTATCAAAACATTTTTACAAGAGCAGATTTTTGGTCTTTGAAAGGGATTTTTTTTCATGCCAAGCTCCCAAACTATATATATATACCTCATTGTGTTGTAGAATTGAACCAATAATAAATAGCTCACATTTTAATGGTAAAATACAGACTATTTTCAATAGCCTCTAACTATGAGGAGAATGTTATTTGACATTTATCTAGCCGACATATGAATAAAACAATTCTAAAATAATAGTGAAGGCAAAATCTATCCCATGTAACATCACAACTTGTTTCTAACATTTGTCTTTAAAATAGTATTGGCCAACGAAAAATGTAAGTCTCACAACAAATATAAAAAGACACACAGCAGTACAAACCAATCTGAAATTTTCATCCATGCAGACATACTTACTGTGTTCATTTAAGAGGATGTAAGATTTTGCATTCAGTGCAACACTTTCGGGTCACCATTCATAAAATTGAGATGAACTGAATTAAAAAAAAAAAAAAAAGAAACATTTAATTTTAATTTAAAAAAAGTATTTGCAGGATTACCCACAATTCCCTGGGGTTTGTAATGAAGCTTTGGTCCCTTATTTTACTTTAGTCTTTTTATTTTGGTCCAGTACTTGTTTATGTGTCGTAGATATACTGCAGCCTCGCTCCAAAATCCTCACAGTTCTTTTGGCTGTGGTGTGAAATTGTCCGCCTGGGCGCTCACTTGAAATAGCAATACTGACTCTGAATCAGTCTCTGGGGACACCTTCACCCACTAGCTGCACTCAGGTACTCAGGAGCATTTCATGATTCGGGTGGAAGAGCAGAGTGTGATAGCTGGGGCCCTCTAGAGGTAGTCCAGCTCCAGTGCATGGCTCAGAGCTTCCAGATCGGCTCGACAGGACACCCTCCAGAACGGCATGTTCTTCTGAGAAAACAAAAATAACATTTAAATGAAATACAGGTTTAATGTAAAACATGCAAGCTTAAGGCAGACGCACTTTAACAGCTTGCAGTTCTGCTACAGATGCACCACAGATGTGAAATATGGACTGCGGTTTGGAGTGGGATTGTAGTATGTGATAAAGTACAGGTGGATAATGTGTTGGCCTATAGTGAATTTGCTGAACTGCCAAACCCAGGAAAATTTCTGACATTTCAATGGAAAGATTGTAAAATAAAAAACAAACAAACTCAGACACAGAAGCTGCAGAAATCAAATGTCTTTTAGGGTTAACCGATTAGCTGTGGCCCATTTTTCATCAGTCACAGTTCTAAAAAAAAGAAAGACAGATTGAGTTATACCTTCTTGGCCACGGTCTCTTCTTCGGCTCCATCTCCTATAACCACATACACTGCTCTCCGACCAAATCTCTGAGAGACACGCTCAAAGCAGCTCTCTTTGCCTTTGAAAAGAGGGAAAATCAGATGTTCAAACGTTAAAATGGTACATTTCGAGAAACAGTTTAAAATGAGAAATTATAGAGGATAGAAGGAGATTAAGGTTGATTGTATTTTTGATTATTTTCATTATCTTTTCCTTCTTTCTCTGATTTTCCTCACCTGTCTTTGTGGCACTGTAGATGTTCTCTATGGGGAAAGCTGAGCCCAGACCGTACAGTAACACTTTGGAGAGGGCAGGGATGAGCTGGGTGGTGGTCACCAACACATTCACACAGTTAGGCCTGGAACAGCACACAACAGACACGTTTATGCTATAGTTAAATCATGACCAGTGGTGGTGGAAAGTAAGTACATTTACTCAAGCACTGAACTGTACTTCAGTGCAGTTTTAGGTTTTGTTTACTTTTACTGTTTACTTTTTTCATTATATGATACTCTGTTCTTCTATTTCACTACAGAGGGAAAAACTGGAATGTCGGGCCTCACAGTGGTATGCTTCCTCTGCTAGCCAGTCAAGTTGCAGTTAATATCCTTGTCTGTCCAGACTCCTAATATATGTAGGGAAGACTTTGAAGGAATTTAATAAAAGGTATTAAGTGTATTAAATTTTTTAAATTAAATTTACTGAATTAAATTACATTGAGTTAAATGAATTTAATCCTGTTAAAACAATTATGTATTTTAAATTAAACCAAATTTACTTATTTTAACTTAGTAAAATAGAGTTGAATTAATGACATTTAATTAGATTTAACTAAATTAATTAAATATATATAAATAAATTCACTCATATTACATTGAGTTATATTAACTGAATGAAATTTAAATGATTCAAATAAATCAAATCAAATTTACTCAAATTAAATTGAGGTAAATTAATTTAAGTCTATTAAAACAATTAAATATTTTGAATTAAACCTAAATTATAAAGTAGTTTACTTCAAAACTTAAAATGAAATTTACTAAATTAAATTGAATTGAATGAAATTTATTAAATGGCGTTAAATTTATGCAGTAAGCAAATTAGATCACATTTACTCAATTACATTACATTGAGTTACATTTTTGAGGGTTTGCCACCACAAATCCTTGAACACAAAATTCTAATCAGTTCATCCTTGAATTTAAGTGGACATTTGTGTCAGATGTAATGAAATTCCCTCCAGGTGTTCCTGATCTATTGCGTTCACAAGAATGAGATGGATGTGAGGTCACAGTAACCTTGACCTTTGACCACCAAAATTTGTTCAGTTCAACCTTGAGTTCAATAGAATGTTTTTACCAAATTTTAAGAAATTTCCCAAAGCCGTTCCTGAGGTATTATATTCACAAGAATGGGACGGACGTAAGTACGGACGTAATTATACACAGAGGCATGACTATGATTTTTACTCCACTATATTTACTTAATAAGCTGTTAGTTTTCAGATTTCAGATTAAGATTTTGCAAATAAAACATTTTACTTTTGATAAAGAGGTACTTTTACAAGGAGGATTTTGCAGCACTTAAACTTGTAACAGAGAATTTTTACATTGTGGTATGGGTACTTTTACCTAAGTAAAAGATGTGAGTGGGTCTTCCATCACAGGTTATGACATCATAAATAACACACCATAGCAGCGACTGAGATTCATTCAACTCTTAAATGATATGGATATTGTTGGCTGAAATCATAATAACACATCATACAATACAACTCTAGAAGCTAATGTCAGTTGACTGGCTGGTTTAAATCAAGCTGCTGCAGCACAAACTGACCTTGAGTTGATGAGAGCCAGGGCTTTGAGTGCTTGAGTCAGCCACAGGTCAGTCAGGACCTCCATCTCTCTCCTCAGCTGTAACCACTCCTCTCGCTTGGGGCTGCCCAGCAAACCTGCCCATCAGTGAGAGGCACAAGCATAATGGTCAGTAAGTAAACAGGGAACCCTTATAGCTCAGATACATATAAGTCCTTATTCAATGAGATGTTACAAAGCTTTATTTTGACAGCAGGACTGTCTGGATGGACGATTCTCACACAACGCCCTCTTGCCAAAACCTCAGACACATGGTTTCCAGCAGAGGTAAAGCAGCCGGATATAACCAGCAGTACCTATGCTCACCCAGTGCACAAGGGTTTACACTGAACAACAGCTTCTGATTCATGATCCCAGCTGACAAACAAACCTGTCTTGTTCCTTTCAGCTTTTTCACCAGATCATGATTTGGTTAATATAACAGGTTATACCTGTGTATCATAAATTTCATTTTTTTTTTTACATAGATTCTTTAAGGCAAGTGCGGTTGATATCACTGCATTTTGATCCTCAACAGTGGTTTGGTTGATGATCAAACTGGAGCTTCTACAATGCAAAATGCACTTTTCTGAAGAGCATCTACATTACCTGTGGTTTAAAGCTGTACTGTACTGTTCAGTTTCAGATCTAGCTTTTGAATTTGTAAATGTTACTAATTTCTTGACATTATTCTGCCTTTTTTGTTGCACATTGAAGTTATACCTCAGAGAAGTTGAGATGGTCTAACTATCTTTAAATATAAGATAAATATATTTACTGTAGATCTGATTCCTGTATGACAGTGTTCCATCTAAATAAAATGACAGCTTACCCCCAACATTATTCTTGTATGTGTTGTAGATCTCCTTGACCCTTCGGTATCGGAAAGCCAGTTTCCTCATCCAGTCCACCCCTCCATGGACCCCTGACCCCAGGCACAGAGAGCCGGCCCCTGCTGGGCTCTGGAAGCCGTCCGACCCAAAGTTGTAAGTGCTGCAGGATCACAATACAGGAAACAGGCAGGATGTAGATCATAAAGACAATAAACTGTATTTTTCCTGGGCATCTTATAGTAGCACTATCACCAGTATTTCAAAGGCGATACTCCAAGAACTGGTACAGCTATATACACGGATACATTTTCTAGATCTAGGAATTGAGTCAAACTATGCTGGCTATGAACAAGAAGGTAGTGCTTAAACCATTTATCAAATGTAGGGACGTGTGCCAGTGTAACCGCAAAAATTTCAGGGACGAGAAATGCTTTGAAATTGAATGTAGCTGAGAATGAAGTTTTGTCAGTTAGAAATCATAAAGTATATACATTTAGCATGGGTAGGATAAATAGAAAAAAATCTTTCAGAATGAAAAATGCTGAGATCAGTAAAATAAATACCTCAGAAAAGTACTTTGGTACAGTCTGGCTCTTTCTCAAATCACTCATATAAGTATCCCAAAGTGCTTCAACAAGTTTATGCAATAAAATGTCTGGACTGAGGGAGACAGGGGGAATTATAAAGAGATATTTTGATGAGAAGTGAAAGCATTGGATAATCCTGTGACATATTATATGGCTGTGGACGTCGGGAAAATAAAAGACATGCACAGGCTTGCATGCATGAACACACACAGACGCACATACTCTTCATCTCATCTCCCTGCTTATTTCCTCCCGTGCACTAAAACCCAGAGGGCAAGTCTGGTTCACAAGCCACAGTTGAACTGTCTCTCGGAGGAGCTTTAAGTACAGTAAGACGGTAGAAGCTTTACCTCAGGTCCTGCCCATTGTCGTCTGATGCCACGTCATCAATATGAACCTGGTCACATTCCTGGGAAATTAAAAGGAGAGCGGATATATCATGAGATCAGTTTCAGAGTGGAGCGCTGTACAGGTAGGTCTCTCCTCCCTAGGGGAGCCTCCGGGAGTGATAGCAGCTACAAAAATAAAAAAAAAAAGAGTTATAATAAAAGACAAGTAGGGAGGAAATAAGGTATCGGGACATGGGACAGGGAGGCGCCAGAGATAGAGGACAGTCAATATGGTGGTGAAATCTAGTGTAACCACGCAGTAAATTAAAGTAAAGTAAATCTACATTTTTATAGTGCATCCAACATTTTGGTAAAAAAAAATATCTTTTAAGAATGGCCCATTGTCTTTGACATGCACAGTGGTGTGCATGTTGTTCCTCTCAATTGGACATGAATGCAACCAACCAAACCGCAGGGATTAAAACCACATTGCATCTTAAACATGTGGCTGCAGTCAAAACACCTTAAGCAATACGCAGTTAAATCCTGAACTTGAAAACAGTTATTAAAATTGGATATGTTGCACAAAACAAAAACAATGAGCATAACTCAATCATCACAGGTCAAGAAAAAAAATACAACACACAAGTCTCCTCAAAAAATATTAAAATCGCTTTCTCTGTGCCTTTATCCAGCTACAGGCCTCTAAATCCCACAACCTTCCCTACATAATACACATGCAGTAATACACACACACACACACACACACACACGCACACACACACACACAAACACACACACACACACACACACACACACACACACACACACACACACACACACAATCATGCACACATATGTGCAAAAACAGAGGACCCTATCACCTTTCAGCCAGCTTGAGCCGGATGGAGACGCTACCTCATCTTCCCTCCACCTCGACATAGTTCAGTTCCCAAGAGCTACAACCCACCTCCCACTCAGATGCAGAGATGCTACTACAGACCAAACAATGCAAATCAGTCCCTTTACGCAGTACACAGATATACTCAAACTCAACGCAGCTCCACTCAGTGGCGACAGAGGTTTCATTTAATCTCATTATTCATCCTCAATCAATCCCAATTACAATTACCTCTGGTGCACAACAGCAGCAACAATGCTCGTAGCTATTGGTGTAGCTACTGATATAATAGGGACAAGACAATAGTGCTTCAAGGCTTAACAGCAATTATCAGTCAACCATTGCCTACTGCTTTAGAGATTTTCTGGGCCTTGACAACAAAAGAGGGGATAAAAACCGGGTTTGCAAATGGCTTTGTTGGCTCCTTTTCCTCCTCTTGACTATTCCTCCTCCCATTTGACTAATTTTCCTCTCAGATACTCAGACACACACCTATAATTACAGCACAAAGTGTGCTTGTTCTCTCTCTCTCTCCTGCCCTCTCTAATCTTTTTTTCTTTGTCAGAACAAGGCGGAGGAATGCAGGATGAAAAACATATGCACCGTTCAGTCACTAGCAGGTAGTGAAATCCTTTCATCCCTTGTAGAGGTCACCTCAATACCCAAATTTGGTGGATTTTGAGGCAGCAGGTTACGTCTAACTGTGCGAGCACTTATGCCAGCAGTTAACAACCCCTCCTTTTAGTATTCTTGCTGTACCGTCACTTCAGGAAGGGAAATTGTTTGGAAAATGCTGTAGTAACAGTTAATACAGGATAGATGTTGTGTGAGGGGATTTCTACAATGCCAGCCACTGTGCTTTATGCCAGGTAAGAAAACAGCACCCAAATGTCAAACTTCTTGCTACGCTGTTGAAGGGAAGGTTTTCTCGTCAGCTATATGCCAGTTTACACCAGTGGGTATGCTCTCACTGCTGCTATTTTCCAAATTACTGGAAAAAGTCTTATGATTATTGCAAAGCAAAATATGCGATGAAGTGTGCTGTGAGGAGAATGTGAATAAGTAGTACGATTTTCGGGTGAAGGATTTCTAAGATACCAGTTCGAGGGATAAGTAGTCAGCGGAGCAAAATGAAATCCTGCAACGTTCGAAATTTACTCCAAATCAATAAGACAAATTTACAAAACTAACCTCCAGATCATTGAAGAAGAGTCTCGAGTCGGCCAGATTGAAGATCATCTCCTCCATCCACAAACCAAGAGACACTGCCTTCGAGGAGTCCTGATGCACACACAGAAATACAAACACACCACAATGAATAGCTTCACACACACAATCACACTATGGACCTAAATGTGTCTTAGCACGGATGTACTGTTTATGTGTTTATATATTGAGGCGCGTTCAGCATATATAGTATATATATATATACTGTGGAGACAAGTTTCCCCTCAGGCACATTTAAGACTCTTATCTCTCTGTCAACCAGAGCCATGTACACTTTTAAATTAAAGAAAAATGGTTTGACCTAGTTAATAAAAAATGAGGTAAGATGAACAGCTCTCTATCCCTTCAGGCACTGCACCCTTGATAGTTGGTTAATTAATAATAAAATCATGAGCTCCAGCTGAGATTGATGGCCTAAGATGTTTGGTATTTAGACAACAATCAGTTAAATTGGATTATGGAACATCATTATTCTGGTCTTGTCAGTGCAGCTGCCTGTTTGTCTCCCTGAACTGCTTTCTTTTCACTTCTGCAAACTCATCAACTGGACTGACATAAACAGGTTTCAGGGAGAGGCAAGTATGAATATTTATCTGTCAGTCAAAAACTGCTGATTCCTATCTGTACTATCTCTTCTTACTTTTTTGAGTTTTGCTTCTCTTTGATCCAGCCTGCCCTTAGCTCCCCACTGCTCCTCTTGATTCATTACATCAAATCAAATAACCATAACCTCTGTACAGTAGTTGAGCTTGAACATGCAAACATTTGTGAACTTGCACTAGACATAAAGTACAGCTGAGGATGATGGGAATGTCGTTATTTTTAGCAGGTATTTGATGATAAACCAAAGTACTGGACACATTTTGACCTTATGATGGTGCAAGAGGGAAAGTTAAGGGATCACAACAGAAAACAAATAAGCAACTATTATGATGACTGATTCATCGTTTGAGTCCTTTTTCACACAAAAATGCCAAACGTTTGGCTTGAGCTTCTTAAATGTATTTGCTGCCTTTCTTTGTAAATTAAAATGGTCTATCTTATAGATAAAAAAGACAGATACAATTAATTTTTAAAATACTCAGCAGATTAAATTATAATGAAAAAAATGTTAGTTGCATTTATTACAATTCATCCTCTGAGCACCATAGAAGTCTCATGTCCATCAACCCATCAGATAGTTTGTGAGGTCTCAGTCTGGACCGAAGTGGTAAACCGACCAACAGACATCCCTGGGGCTTTGCCATTAATGTGGCTAAAAATGAATACAGACTTAATGTTAACCAGCAGATTATACAGCTCTACCAAGTTTCAGTGTCTGCTAATTAATTTTCAAAAACGGGAATCAATGGCTTCAGGGAATGGTGGGAAAAAAAAATCTAAAACACATGTCTATGTGATTTATAGTAAATGGCTAAAACAGGCTGGAAGGATTCTTAAAAATTGTTTCCTCTACTTTATTTGCCCAACACGAGTGCAGTGGATTTAACTGTAACGGGAAAAAGAGCAGGTATCACTGATATATGTGCTCTTTGTTGATGTTGGTCTTTCACCTTCTTTCAGCATTTTCTCTTTCTATTAACACCAGCTTCTCTTTTCTTTTCCTCTTGTACGGAAAAACAAACAAACAAATACACAGGTTTAGTTACACCTACTTACTTCAGTTTTGTTTCTTAATAAGAAAATTATAAATCATCACCCAGATAAACTCATAAATCATAATGTGCAACCAGTCAGGCAGATAAACAGTGTGAGCGTGCTGTTGTTCAAGACTACAAAAGCAGGTGTGTGTACATGTGCGTTGTGTATTGTTTTGATGGCAGCGCTGGCTCGTCTCTGGCAGCGAGACAGGAGAAGCAGAGGGGTGTCAGCCAAAGGTGAACATTAGATTAGTGCATCTGAAATGACAAGCAGGGCTGTTTCCTGGCTCAGAACTTTAGAAACGGGCTTGATGACACAAGTAGGGTAAATTATGACAATTACAAAATAGCCCCCTCCAAAAAAAGGGTGTAAAGAGAAAAGAGGTAATGGAGGACGAAGGGCGGCAAAAGTTCAACAGGAGGAGTAGGATGACAGGAGAAGAAAAGAGAAAATGACGAGGGGCAGGATTGGGAAACATTGGCCAGAAAAGGAAGAGATGAAAGCAATGGATGAAGAGGGAGGGTTAAAGGCTTAGGAGAGGTTTGTTCTGCTTGTCTAATAATTGAAATAATTATCTGTAATCACCTTCCTCCATAGACGAAGGCTGTTTCTATACAGAGAGACAAACAAAAGCCTCTGTCTGTTAATCTGAGACAAGAATTTAAGAATAAAAGCACCAAAAGCATTCACTTCCCACTTTAACTCTTTACACAGTAAATGTTTGCTTAAAAAAAAAAAAGAAAAAAAAAAGAAAGAAAGAAAGACAGAGCTGGGGAAGAAAATTCACACACTACATGACAGAGTCGGGTGCTGTATGATAGATGAGATAACGGAAGACCTGCAACAGGGGAGGGAATCAGCTCTTCGTGGATCTCAATTCACCTCTGGCTCACCAAGCTGGTGAAAACAACTGTCTTTCAGCGCACATGTTATTCTTTTCTGCACACTGGGCCCAGACTTGCCTTTACGTGTAGGTCCAAACATTTGTTTATAATAAGAGTTTTAATAGGCTGACCCTAATGGGAAGAGCCGGGCTGGTAAAAAGCAGGACACAAACCGGAGATAATTAATGCTGGAAAAAAAAAGTATTACTGTTGTCAGAGTACAGGATTAGTTAGGTGTGAATTTGGGAGGGAGAAAAAAAAATGTTGCCTGTAAGCCGTCTTGACGCTTTGGACTGTTAATCTGTTTTTCTGCTGTCACTCATTCAGCTCTTCTGCTGCATGTCTGAGTTTTGATGTCAGAGTCTGTCCAACTGAGCTTCCCTGGATCCAGCAGCGGGGTGTTTGGGTGGTGGGAGGAATCAGGAATTTTTGGCACATGAGTCACATTTCAACACATCTACTCTCTTGCTCTCTATCTTCTCTCTCTCTTCCTCCCTTATTCTCTTCACCCCCCACCCCACCCCCTCTCCTTGGCTGGAAAGAAAGAAAAAGAAACAACGGCATGCATGGCCTGCCGGGGGCTGAACCGATCAGAAACGGTGCTCTCAAACTCCCATCAGCCTTGTGTCAACCCGCAGGGGGACCGTGAGAATTCAAAACACAGATCCCCGGCCAAAAACAAGAAACACACCACTGTCCGCCCCCTTGTCAGCTGCCGGTCTGTTATGTAAAGGTCCCGCTGGCTGTCAATCACGCTGCAGGATGCTGGGGTAGCTAAACAACCCCGGTGCATTATGAAAAGAAACAAGAGGGCAGAAAGGCAAAACAGCCAGCGTGTGAAAATGCTCAGGGATGAGACCCAAAGGTCGTGGACTGAACTCAGGCAGCCAAACCTTTGACTGTTCGTCAAATAAGCACTAGATCGCAGAAACAAAGGGTCAATTGACTATAGCAAGATTACACTGGTTTTGTTGTTGTTGTTGGATTTGGTGCCAAACTGTACCTACCTACCTACCGCGTAATTAACTGCTGTCAAAGTGTGATGAGCTACAAGATGTACTTCTTACAGTAAATGACAAAGGGAGGGGTTGTATTGCCGTACCTTGCCAAATCGTGAGGAGAAGGTTCCCGTGAGGAGCGAATGGAAAATGATGATGGTTTCATCCAGGTCCCAGATAAACACTCGCTGCAGTGAAATAACAGATATGTAATGTTAACCTCATGAACGTTTATGTGTGTGTGTCTGAGAGAGGGAGAGAGGGAGACAGAGGGAGAGAAAGATAAATATTGTAGAGAAATACTGATAATTTTCAACACTGTGTGAGTGTGTGTTTACCTCTATATCAGAGTCCAGAGGTGGAGTGGGGTCACTGGCTCTTTTCCTCCCTCTCAACTTCCCATCTGACCCCCTCCGTGCTGCGACCCCCTCCTCTTTACCTGGTGTGGGGGGGCTGGGCGGGGCGTGGTACTCGCCTAAAACACACCCATGTACAACAAAAGATGCTGATCAGTCTATAGAAAACAACCTTTTTCAGACTTACATTTATTAAATCAACAACATATTAGTCACTATCCATACCAGAGATTAAAAGTTGTTTTAATCTTTCCCTTCAAAGTCGTCCAACTTCATGGGAACTGACTTGTGTTGGCCAGGTGTGAGTGTAAGTGCGTAAATCTGTGCACAGTATTTTATCTTATCGTGTACTCACGTATAGCTTCCTTTTGACACATGTCAACTACTCCTTACCTGTGTGTGACTCTGGGCTGTGATTGGGCAGCATGACAGGGTGCTCTGGGTGCTGATAGGCTAATGGAGCTGTGATGGCAGCAGGGCTGATGTTGCTGCTGGTTATGTAGGGGCTGTTGTAGTGATGTGAGTTATAATACGGAGAGTACTGACTCTGACTGTAACTTGAGTACGCTGAAAACTCCTGTCAACACAGAAACAATGACAATACAGTAGATGGTCAGTAACATCAAAAATGTGCACATTTTAATCCCAAAATCGTGTCCTACATCAGTCAGCAGTATTGAAGAAAAGATGATGTTTGCCAAGACCTTAGCAGTAAAAAAAATGCTGCGGTTGAATAACTCACTTGTTGGGTGGGGTTGAATGGGGCTGAACTGGTAATTGCGTGGGTGCCTTGAAAAATTCCAGACGAAATGCCACCACCTGAGAAATGATGAGAAGACAAAGGTCAAACTGTCAGGTAATAATCAATTATGCAGGATAAAAAAAACATTACCAAAATTGGTGGTAGATTTGACTCCTATTACATCTTATCTGAATCAGCTTCTAATATAATTCCAAAACATCCAATCTGATCTGTGAAAGTGTGTGGTGGAAGGAACGAGCCGTAAACTTTGTCTCCTTGCTCAGTGACAGCTAAGTGCTGCAGGAGCTGAGAGAGAGATTTATATGTTTGACATAACAATACAGGTGGGAAAGTCTGCTGCTTCTGTCGCTGCTCTGGGAGTCTTCTTAGTCTAATCAAGCCAAGGCAGGGATATCTTCCTCCAAGCAAATTTCTCCCCCCACAGTGACGCCGTCTCACCCTGCATCTTCCTGTCAAGTCTGTCCATACTGTTCCTTTGTCTGATTAATTTTTTTCTCCTGTAATCTTATCACCTCCACCTACGTATGAACTTTTGACACCAATTGGTAAAAAGAGTTCATTGTGTGTGGTCTCTCATTAAAACTATATAACTTCCCAACGGCTTCTTGTAGGATGACTAAACTTCAGGAGCTCACTTCAAGGAGACAGTAGATGATTTACGCCCTCTACATTAATCCATCAAATCCTTTAACACATACAATTTTTCACTGACTATTCACTTAAACACGATTGTTGACAGCAGACTCTTTGGGGCTGTCCCTGTATTTAGGCACAGCGGTGCATTGAGCCGAATGCTAACATCAGCATGCTAACATGCTTACAATGACAATGCTCACACACTGATGTTTAACAAACATAGTGTTAATCATGTTCAATATCTTGGTTTAGTAGTGTCAGCATGGTTAGCAAGTACAACTCATTGGAATGTAATTGATGGATCACTAAATTTTGTAGAGTTCATTGTGTGGGGACCATTATTGTCTGTACCAAATTTAATTAAAATCTATCCAACATGTCTACTTGTGTAAATCCAGATGTGTAACACATTGATAAAGGGCCTACTATTAACAAAACACAGACTGACACTTGCTTACACAGATGATTGAGTGCACTGCAATTAGATTATTTGTATTCAAACAGAAAACAGGTCAAATGACATTCGCAAATAACTTCTTGGTTTCCAACTGTACTGTTTATTGAATGGGTGTTTTTTGCTACGTACAGCAGGAAGTAACAGTTAATATAACGTGGTCTCAGTAATCACAGGCGATGGCTTGAAAGTTGATTTAGTATTCTTGTCTGAGATGGAGCTAACCTGGTTGTTTAGACTGATGACTGAACAATGTTTCCCTTCTGTGACAATAAAGATTTATTCTCCTCTTCTCTGATATGACCTGAACTGTCCTGAAACATTTTTAAAGATTCTTTTCCTCCAGTCTACCTCCCATAATTTCATCAGCTGACTACTGCTCTCTTTTGCTCCCCATTTCTTCCTCTCCTCTCCACAGTGCATGACAAACAGGAGAATAATGACTCAATGGAAGAACCACACTGAAACCTCCCAACAGTCTTCAAAGCGACTAAAGGAGGTCTCTCGAGTAAACACAAAAAGGCTCCCATACTCCCCATTTGGTTTCAGTTGTACACACAGTGTACAGTATGTGTTTCGATGGCTTTTTGTGGGGTGTCTGCGTGTGTGTGCGCGCTTGGAGTATTGTGTACTGTATAATGGATGACATGGAAACATTCTGAAATCCTACAAACATTTGGTTGTTGTGGCAGTTTATTACCGTTTGAAGTTTGCAGTTAATGATTTATGCATACAAATATTCAAACCAATTTATTTTGTTTGGGAACAGTGTCCTTCAAACTCAAAATACACTCAATGCACAATGTTTGTTGGTTCAGCAGCCGAGCTCTAACAGAGCACAGTCACTGAAAACTGTGTCGTTTGTAAGAGGTTTCATCAAAAGTGTGTTTACATGAATATTTACATTCCCACATAATGTCTGACATCTGAATTTTCTCTTTAAGAGGGAGTAATATGGAAAACTAGAACTGTTTGGGATGAACTCAAAAGTCATCGATCAGGAGTGCTGTGGGTTCTTGACTTTTCATCTGGCTGAACAAGACATTTTAAGATGTTACCAACATGGCTCTGGGTTTTATTCATCAGTAGCTTCATCGATAATGAAAATAATGTGTAATTGCCGCTTTGATCATAACCGAAATAAAACTGAGGACTAATCTATAAAAATAAGATCCAGTTTGTGATAAACTGGAACTGTTCTTTAACAATCTCAAAATAGCCTTTATTTGTATTTGGTGTGAAGTTGTAGAGATGAAGTGACTTCTGGTGGAACCCAACAAACCTTGGTAAAAAAGAAGAATGTCAATGTGGGTTTCTTCGACATGCAGTCACGTCAATTTGTCATAAAACTAGGAGAACACACTCCTTAAAAATTAAGCAGATGCTATATGAATGATTGGCCCATTATAATGTAGGGACAAGCTCATATTCCAGTTCTTTAACACTTATAACAGGATTTTTTAAAAGCTGGGATAGCAACATGGTGGGAATGAAAAGTGTCCACACTTCATATGTTTACTATTCTATAGTGTTCTGTCTCTCCATTGTCTCACCCACACAGTGGAAAACAGGGTCATCCCCCGACTGCAACATTAAACCTACTCACCCCTCCGTAAAATGCACCTTAACCTCTCCCCTCTCACACACAAGGTCAATTTCACGCTGCTTTCAAAGCCATAAAGTCGCACTGAGCGAGTCATGCTTTGGGCGCCGGACGACTGAGGAATGTGTACAGCACAGATACACATATACACACACACACACACACACACACACACACACACACACACACACACACACACACACACACACACAGAAAGAGCCATGCGTGGGCAGAGATCTGCACACACTCCCAAGCATACCACGTCTTCATCTGAGCGTTTGCTTTTTGGCAAAGACCCTGTACCCATCTTTTGTTTTCTCCATTATTCTGTTTTTTTTCTGTCTTCCATCCCCTTTATTTCTCTTCCTTTCTATCTGTTTTCTTACTCTCTTTTTTCCTCTAAAAGACACAAGCGCTTGCATGCTGTGTTGTTGGTCTGAGTGGAGAAAGGGGGCCTGACCCCGAGAAAAGAGGAGGGGTGGGGAGACTTTTGACGCCAGGAGTCCAGACCGCAGCTAATGGAGAACAGGTGTGGCAGAGAGAAGGAGAGGAGAGGAGAGGAAAGGAGAGAAAGATGACGAGAGGAGAGAAAAAGGAGAGGAGAGAGGGGAAGAAAGACAGGGGAGGAGAAGAGGAAAGGAGAGAAAGTCGACGAGAGGGGAGAAAGGAGAGGAGAGAGGGAGAGAGAGAAAGGGGAGGAGGGGAAGGCAGCATGAGGAGGGATGCTCCTTCCAGTAAGGTCCAAGTCAAAGATAGTGTTATATGGTCTGTGTGCCAGTGTGTCCTCACATTCAGCACATACAGTGTTTCACACTAACCGTGCGTGTGTGAGTAGCTGTAGAGACTTTGACTGGGAGGAGTGCTGCTGAAGTTTGAGTAGCCCAATAGTCCCGTCTGTCCTGGAGAGTGACTCAGGCCATCCTCTGTTTTTATGTCTAGAAAGGGAGGAGAAGATTAACGTTGCATTCTGGATGAACATGCAGTAAGGTAAGGTAAGTGAGAAAATCAGTAGAGGCCCAATCCCCCCAATCCCCACGGTAATTTGAACCCTGGTGATGCTAACTTGTAGAATCAGAAGCCTTGCCATCACATCAAAAATAATGCACTTACTGTAGGAGGGCATGCTGTAGCCCTGTGTGTGGTGAGTGTAAGGTGCGTATGGTCCTGCAGGCTGGAGGGCGGGGCTGTACTGAGTCTGTCCATATGCAGCCATGACGCCGGTCCCCCGTCAGTTGATACCTGAGGAGGGAAGAAATAACGAGGAAGCTTTTGGCAACAAATTCTTCTCCTTTTTATCTGTTACAACCGAATCTGGTTTTTTGTCACAGTTTGAGTTGACTGTGAGGAGGAACACACTCAGCAGTGAAAAACATAAAAAGAAAACCTACTTCTTTTACTGACAAAAAAATAAATAAAAGAATGTTATAAACCAGAACAAAGAGAAGCTGCATAAAGTGGTAAAATCAGAATAGACGATTAAAATGTTTGCTACTCCTAGCATAAAACAATGACAGAAGACCTTAATTAAAGGAAAAGAAAACAAAGTTCTCATTCAAACAAACTTGAATGACATAATGTCTAACATCACGCTGTTTAAAGCTCTGCAATTCTCAGATGATTTTAATCAACAGTAATGAAATTCTATGGTTTTAATTTTAACTGTAACAAATGTGATGAAAACTCACCTGCAGTAGATATGATGAGTTTGAAACAGACAATAAGAAGCCCTGTGAATGAAGCAAGAAAGGGCGCTGTTAGAAAATCTGAAAGACTGAAACCACTCCAACAAAAATGTAGTAAAATTTCACAATAAGACTGTGTTGTCAATTCAAAAATAAAATCAATTTAATTAAACTTTGACCACTTGCGACCAATTTTATCATTATGCAAGTGAAATGCAAGAGTTAATTTTAAACATATTCAATCTGTTTGACTTCACAGTCCTTGCACTCTTTTCTTTGTCATATTGTTCTCTCACCTGCCTCTGTAGAGAGAGCTTTGTCCTCTTTATCCCGTCACGCTGCTGTTAGTCTGGTTCGTCTCAGGCCGTCAACTCTCCTGTGGAAACAATAGCAAGTACACACCTTCAGGACACAGGTATGCAGGTGACTGACACATGGCAACGTGCCTCGGGCCCGCTTGCAGCAGGATGACGAGAGGAGATATTTTCTCCATGCACATAGTTCAGGAGGTGAGAAGGTTTAAAGATAGACAGAGAGGAAGAGGAACAGAAAAAGGGAGAACAAGATAAATGTGGTATTGATGAGAAGAGTATGGCCATTCGAGTTACATAAACCTGAAATAGTTTCTAAGGAAAATGTAAGGAAAAAAAAAAGAAGAAGCTCCATTACACCACTGCTGACTCATTCTGCTTTGTAGGATACCATTCATGCGTGTGATGTCTAATTTCTTAAAAGAAATAAACAAGGGAGAAACATCCACAACTAGGCTCCAGTCCAAATTCAAAAATAATGTCAGTGTTTGGGTGATTCATAATGATTACTTCTGCAGAAATTCTCATGTAAGTTGGGTGATGAGACAATAGAGCTTTGTAAGACAGTAGAGAATGAGACAGGACGACAGGCTGAGACAGGAAAGACTTTGTAATACAATTTCCACTTAAGTCATACTCTCTATCTCTGACTGTATTAGGTGATTAAAGACTATGATGCAAATCAATAAGCAGGAATTCTTTATGGAAATACTGGCGTTTTGCAATGATGTGATGAAATACATTGAATTTATTGGGTATTTAATTCCCTAGATTAAAACGGGTTATTTTATCTATAAACTGTTTTTCATTTGAATTTCCAAAATAAAAATACAGTGATAAGAGGATTTAATATTAATATATTGCCCTCCCCATTAGCAGAAGTAATAGGAGGTAAGCGAGAGAGAAAAGTTTTGGGCTGCGTGTAGGCTGGAGGTCAAAAGGTCAATGCCACATTAATTAGTCTAAGCAGGAAGCTGAGTGAGGTCAGTGTGTCCGACTACAGAGCGTAAATCCCACTCACACGAGGTAGCGGTCAACATGAAGTCAGCCTTCCTGTGGGTGGCTAAAGCTGTGCTGGGAAACTTTAATAAAGTAAAATGTCCTCTTGACCGTATGACACCTCTAACTACAAAGCCATGTTCATACAGAAAGCTTTTTCCCGGTTTGGTGTGAAAGTACAGTGTTCAGTGCACAGATCACTGACCCTGAACCCCATCCAGCATCTTTGGGATGAACTGGCATCATCACCCAACATCAGTACCAACCTCACTGAAGCTGTTTTGGCTGAATAGGAGCAAAATCCCTGCAGCCAGGTTTTAAAATCTGATGGAAAACCTTCCCAAGAGAGTGGAGTTCTTGACTTGTGTTATTACAGCAGCACGTGAATGATCCAGGAGTGAGATGTTTAACAGTCACCTATGCATTACCGCTACTACTGTTTATTTGTGCTATATGAAAATGCACAACAGGCCGAACTATTTTATTGATTTCATCTCTCTCTTTCTCTCTCCGTCTGTCTCTCCTTCTCTCTCTCTCTCTCTATCTCTCTCTCTCTCTTTGCCTCTGGGGCCATTCCAGTCTGGCAGAGCTGCAGCTAACTGCCTGACCCCCGACCTCGCTGACAACACAATGACAGAGACAGATGACAGTCATGAATTACAGGGGCAGCAGGGTTTTTTTTACAGCAGCACAGAGATGAAGGTGAGAGGAGGGGGAAAAAAGTAAAAGCTGTCTGAGGAAAAGAGACTTAAACTGTGACAGTGTGAACATTCATCAACAGAAGCTTCAGTGTCAGGGGCATTATAAGCCTGAGCTGTATTTCAGTATCTTTAGAGGTGTTCTCATTGTCATTAACAACAGCGTGTTTGACAGATCAAGAATAGCTGAGCTCCGCTGATGCAGCTTCCCTCCTGGCTTTCAAAACACCCGAGACGGCTTGCAGTGTTTTTTGAGTAAATAAGTATATTTCTACCATGAAGCGGCTACAAAGACTGTACGGCCAAAAATCCACCTGCACATCTGTGTTATTGACCGTTAAATAAACATAAATAAAACAGACTGTAAATCTTAAGAGGGGATTTACTGTTTACCATGACATTAATAGCCCTTGTGTTTTTTTTTTTTAAAAAAAGAGCAAAAGCAAGACACAAACTGTACTTATTTCTAATTCCATTTCTTCTTAAATATAACTGAAAACATTATGAACAAATTGAACCAAATTTAAATTTAAACCAACCTTTTTAGCTTCAGCTCGGTTTGAAATCTTGACTTTCAGTCTAAACCATGTTCATCTTTTGCTTTCCTGAGAAGTTTTCCATTTCAGAGATGACCCTTAAACCTGGTTGAAGACCCTGATCTGACCTTTCTCACAGACAGACTCTGAAGCTCAAGAGAGTAACACTGATCCCACAGCACAGAGGAAAAATAAGGAAAGTGCTGTTGTGCTTTGCATTTCCTCGTACTTCCCCGGGATCAAAAATGAAAGCCTGTTCAGAGTCCTCTTGACTTCAGCTGCATCCCTGAAACCGGCCTTAATGCGCACACGTGCTCGTACACACAAACACAAATGTGTGTGTGATAGCGAAGGCACTTCCTGGTTCAGGGTGAGGCCTGGGAGGAGGGCGCACAAGGCCATGGGAACTGCAGGACATCGGAGGGAAGATGAGCGGAGCTCAGCAGAGATGCGAAGGGCTGAGGCCTGAAACCGAAGCTAAAACAAACCCAGCAGGGCCACAGGGGGCCACAGGGCCACAAGGCCAGTCCCACCAGCTTCACCTGGGTCCCAGGGTTCTGCTAGACCACTGCTTCTTTCACGGATATCAAATTCTAGCCTTTGTGCTGATGGATTACATCACAGGATGGTGTATTGTGCTTTAAGTTGAAATGTCATTTGATACAGTTAAAGGAATACACCGGGCTTATGCACATTTACCTGTTGCTCAACTAAACTGTTGAGTGAGGGAAAGACGACAGACACGAAACCGATCCATATGTGCCAACTAGCTTCGCTTATCAGGAGGGTGTAATACTCAAAACAAGGAAGGCTCAAAACAAGCCAGTTCATACGACATCATCCAACCACATGTGAAGGCCAGAGTCTTCCTAGCTTGTTCCAAACGGCCTCAATCATAGGCGGGGTGAAAAGGCGGCTGTCGTAGAGAGGGGCGAGACACAATAATCGCCCAAACGGGGATAACAACGCAACACTGTCCGATAAGCCTTTGTCAAAACCATTTATAGGGTTGCACTTGTTTTTAAGTGATGGAAGTAGTTGTGTGAAGAGTGAAAAAACAGAGCTTGAGAGAGAGAGAAGGTTACATTTTCATCTCCGCTCACTCAGCCAAACCTCCATAAAATGTCTGATTGTCGGTTTCGGAAAATTTATAAAAATTGGCAGAGGCACCCCTGTCTCTGTGTGTGTGTGTGTGTGTGTGTGTGTGTGTCTGTGTCTGTGTGTGTGAGTGAGTGTGTGTGTGGGCATTTCTTTAGCTATTCGACTACTCAACAGACACTTTGTTTTAAGTGTACTGCCCCCTTCACTCCATAGCATCCACATGCTGAGCGATAATTAGCAATTGACACCTCAAAGGCAAGAAGAGGACATCTAGCAGAAGCTCCAGATAGTATGCGCTAAGAATTCAAACCAAGTAACGCAGTTAGATTTAGTGTATGTGTACAATATACACAGAATAAATTCTGATGCAAAACCACAGTGTGTGAAATTTCCTATGAAGGGTGTGTGCAGTGTGGTCTTCTTATTTATATAAGTTCAAAAAATATTTGAATATTACTTCATGTGTTTGGTCTGTGTGTCTGGTTAGACAATTGTTTACAGTGTCAATATGTGTGCTGTGTCAGTTTCCTGATACGACATGCCAGAGTCTGGTTACACACACCGCTGTGACCCTCGAATGATTTGACCTTTTATTGAAACACCGTGGTTCTCAATCAACGGTGTGACAAGGTGACTTGCTGCTCTGTAATTGTGCCATATGGGACCCCACCTGGAGCCCTCCATTTGGACAGTCTGCCTAAGTGCCCGGGGGGGAAGTTGGGGGCTTGATTCATTGCTGCTCACAAACCCCTCTCTCTCAGTTGCTGATAAAAGAACACAGAACAATGGCCTAGTATTTAGGTTTGTGTGACACTATCAGGCTTTTCGTGGTGGAAATCGATGCCATCTGCCAGCGACTGCCCTTTTTAACCACCTTTGACACACAGCTGATAGTTCAACCGGGCAGACTGCAGTAAAAAGCAAAAGCATCCAGAAACTTTATTTCAGTAATAATAGTTTTAACATTATAATTATTCTTTTTAAATCTAATTCCATATTCTGATGCAAAAACGAAGCCAACACCTCCTAAGGTAAATGAACAGTAGATGACTTTGCAAGCAGGTTAGAACACACTAATGAGTAGTTATAAGAACAGAGATCCAGCCCTGTCATAGATAAGCCTGATGATCCTTCAGTAAACCGCACACAGGCAACCAAGAGGCTACCTGCAAATCTGCACAAAACATTTATATCCCTTAAAACAAATATATACTAAATACAACACGAGCAAATAAAGGCTGTATGCACTCAGAACCAGGGCTGAATCATTAATGATTCTTCTACCAGTTATTGAGTAATTATTTTATCTGAAAAAAAAAATGATAGAGAACAGTGCGCATGCCCGTCACAATTTCTTAGGATTCTGGGTGACATCATCAAATGTTTAGTTTTGTCCAATGAACAGAACAAACCCCCAAATATATTCAGTTCATTGGGACCTAAGACAAAGAAAAGCAGTGAATAAAGAAACCGGAGCAAAGTAATGGTTTATCTCCACAAAGAGCTTTCAAAAAATTTCTCACAAGATTGCCATTATGTTGGGAATGATGCTAAACATCAGTCCACCTGGCAGTTCATTGAACGTGCCTTTGGTAAAAGAAGGACAGTGTACGGTGCGAAGCAGTGTAAATGAGAGAAATGTAGAAAATTAATCTGTTAAAAGCACAGAAAATTGTGATTTGTATATCAGATGTGCGGAGACAGGAGCTAACGGGTGCTGGTGGTCTGCTA